CAATTTGCCAGACTCCATTCATTTGCAGCTCACGCTGAGGGGCCCTGGAAGGCTCCACAGTGGGCTCTAGGAGAGCTACCTATTCCTCTCAATGTGTGGGGCTGCTCCTCCCCACCTTGGTCCTTACAGGAATTCCTCTCACCTCTTCTCTCTCTCTTTCTGTTCCTCCTCTAAGCTCCTTTCCTTCCTGACCTTGAGAGCCCAGTCATGGGCTCCTTCCCCTTACTGGCAGTCTGGCAAAGGCAGTGAGAAGCAAGTTACCTTGAGCTGGGACAGGGAAAGGAAGAGACAAAGTGACAGGGGGAAGAGGCGAGAGACAGAAAGTGCTGGAAACATTGCTTGCCACCTCCTAGTACTCCACAGCATAAGAGCAAGTCCTCAATCATGGCCAAGAGGCGGAGATGAGCAGCCCAGCCCCCAGGTTGCAGAGGAGATGTTTTGGCCAGTCACCTTTGGTGATTCCAACTCTGCAGAGGGGAAAACCTGCAGAAGGCCTGGCCCTGGGCATCCACAGGAGGCAAAGTGGGGATTACCGACTGGTTTGCCAGAGACAAAAGGCAGACTTTGCAAATTAACCAAAAAAAAAAAAAAAAAAAATCCAGCCTTCCCTTCAGAGACCTTCGAGAAAGCAGGCTCTCAGCAACCTTTATTTGGGCCAAGACAGCTTTTTCTTAAGGCTAGTAGAGATACATACCCAGGCGGTTAGGGAAATACTCTCCGCTCTGAGCGATGATAAGGAATGCCTAGCCGGACCCTAAAAACTGCAGGGTTTTGTAGCCCAGTCTCCAGCTTTTCCCCTTTGTTCTTCCCCAAGATAAACTCCCCGGCTTGCTAAACTCTTAGCTCCAAGGGAAGGAATCCGACTTGCAGACTGGTTGTCTGGACTTTAGGGGCGTGCTGGAAGGAGGGAAGAGCTCTTGCCAATGGCAGGTGCTACTCAGGTCTCTGCCTTCAGGTTTACCCAAGGTGGGGTGGGGGGTGGGGTGGGGTCTTCGCCGGGCAGCCCCTCCCCCAACTGGTATTCAGTGGTTCCAGAACAGTTGCTCTCGGCATAGCCCACAAAGGCAATCCCTCTAGCCCAGCTGCTTCTGCAAGCGCAAAGTTGTTGGGGAGAAGGGAGGAGTACGGGGTGGGGGTAAGGGTTAAGGGAATGGGACCTAAGAGCGAGAAGGAAAGAAGGGGAGAGGTGCTCACCATCCCTTGGGGGTGCATCTCTCATCCCCCTTTTGCATCACTTACCATCTCACTGTAGGCATCCTTGCTGAGCCTGGGGGTCAACTTGATCGTCCCCATGAAAACAAAGAAGAGTCCCAAGGCCACTGAGAGGGCCACTATGGTTACGGTTCTGGGGGATGCCATGGGGTCACCAAGGCAGGTCCCAACTAACCCTTCTGCTTTGCGCACCCTCTCTGTCTAAGGCGCAGGCAGTTAGCACAGAGAGAGCGGGAGGGACGCTGCGGAGGCAGCAGGCAGCTAGAATGACAAAGGGAGAGGAGGGAGCTCGAGAGAGAAATTGAGAGATCGAGATTCAACCTCTCACTACAACCATCGCTGGGTCCTAATGCCCTACCTTTCTTCCACTGGCCAAAAAAAAAAAAAAAAAAGTTCTCAAAGTTAAATGAAGCCCTAAACTGAGTAGGAGAGGTCAATTCTTAAATGGGGAGAAGGTTGGTTGTACTTCGAATTCAGCCACTGGGCAGCCCCTGGAATGAGGAATTAAGGAAGACTTTTCTATCATCTCACCCGAGGTGAACTTTTTGTCTTCCTTCCCTCCTATCTCCTTTTAGTTATTCACTCCTTGTTTTCCACCTCTCCCTTTCTCTCCCCTTTTCCTTTTCCTTAAAGCCTTAGTCTTTGGAAAGTTACTGGTTTCTGAGGTTGATAGCATTCAAAGCTAAAACTGCAAAATTGTCAAGCTTGACTGCTGTCCAAGAAAATTTTATCTTCCCCTTCCTCAAAAACGTCTAGTGGATCCCAGTACTCCAGTTTTTATTTTGTCTTTCAAGGCCCTCCACACTTTCAGCCCTGTTTTTGGATAGTCCCTAGGTGGCTCAAAGGATTTGCACCACACTGCTAACTGAAAGGTTGATGGTTCAAACCCATCCAGCCATGTCACAGAAGAAAGGCCATGTGAACTGCTTCTATAAAGATTAAAGCCAAGAAAACCCTATAGAGCAGTTCTACATTGGAGCATGTGGAGTTGCCATGAGTTGGAATAGATGGCAGTAATGGGTGTGTTTTGGTTTGGTGTTTGGTTCTGTCTTTCAACAACTCCCACCGTCACATGCCAATCCTCACCTACTATCTACTCATGGCCCTATACGACCTGAGCTTTCCCACTTCCTTAATCTTTGATCATGCCCTTTTCCCACTCCATCACTCTTTCTCCTTTTCTTTAATGTTACCTCCAAAAAGCCTTTCCAGATTCAGTCCCAGCTGGATGTGATTTTCCCCTCCTCTGATCTCCTCTAATAATAGCTAATATTCATTGACTGTTTATTAGGTGCCAGACACTATATTTACATACATTAACTCATTTGATTTTTACAGCAACACTGTGAGTCTTATGCCCATTTTATGTATGGAGAGATTGAAGCACAGGGAGGTTAAGTAACTTACCCAAGATTATGCAGCTAGTAAGTGGAAAGCCAGGATTTAAATCTAGGCAGTGATTTCTGGAGAAGAAGATTTTAACCATTGGTCTGCTTCCTCTCCTATTACATTCTGTACCAGGAGCATGACACTGGACTCAAACATACTAACGATCATGAAGATGGTACGGGACGGGGCAGCATTGCTTTCTGTTACATATAAAGACACTATGAGTTGGATCTGACTCAATGGCAACTAACAACAACAGTATAATATTAACTTGATATTGCTTACAATCTACTTCCATAGAGATACTGCCTCGGAAACCCATGGAGGGGTTACTGTGAGTCGGAACTGACTTGATGGCAATGAGTTTGTGAGGTATTTTTTTTTTTTTGTAATTACACATAAACACACACACACACAAAACCAAAGCAAACCAAACCCACTACCTTCAAGTAAATTCTGATTCATAGTGACCCCCATTGGGTTTGCAAGGCAGTAAATCTTTACGGAAATAGATTGCCCCATCTTCCTTCTACAGAGCAGCTGGTGGGTTTTGACTGTCAACCTTCTAGTTAGCAATCAAATACTTTAAGCACTGGACCACCAGAGAATCTTAAACACACACACACACACACACACTCATAACATTTTGAGAGGCAGTGCTGATTGGGGAGAGAGAATAGTCTTTGAGTCAAGCCCAGAAAGTTCAGAATTGGAATACCAACACTGCCACTGTGTGACGTTGGAAAGTTGCTTAACTTCTCTGAGCCTCCATCTTCACCTTTATAAAATGTGCACAAAAATGCTTTTTCAAAGGGTTGCTGTAAAAATACCAAGTATGTAAAGTGCCTAGCACAGTGTCTCATAAAAGATAAGAGCTCAATGGACATAGTTCCATTATAGCTCCTTCTACCTTCCAGATGCACTCCACAGTTAGATTAGATTATATATACTTTAAAAGTAGAGGCTGCTTATAGAAATAAAAAGTGAAATTAAAAAATTCCTTGAATCAAATGAGAATGAAAACACAACACACCAAAATCTTTGGGACACAACAAGAACAGTGATCAGAGGCCAGTTTACAACAATGAACACACATGTCAAAAAAGAAGAAAGAGCCAAAACCACCACCTTAAACCAACATCTCCAACAAATAGAAAAAGAACAGCAAGAAAAGCCTACAGTCACCAGACAAAAGGAAATGATAGAAATTTGAGCAGAAATCAATGGAACAGAAAATAGAAAAACAATAGAAAAAATCAACAACACTAGAAGTTGGTTTTTTGAAAAGATTAATAAAATTTACAAGCCACTGGCAAATTTAACAAAGGAAAAAAGTGAGAGAATACAAATAACCTGAATAAGAAGCAAATTGGGAGATATCACAACAGAACCAATTGAAATAAAAAAGGATAATATCAGGAAACTATGAAGAACTGTCCTCTAACAAATTCGAAAATCTGGAAGAAATAGACAGTTTTCTATAAACACACTACTTACCTAAACTAACACAGATTGATGTGGAAAAAGTCGAACAGACCCATAACAAGAGAAAAAATTCAACAGGCTGTAAAAAAATTACCAACAAAAAAAGAATCCTGGCCCAAACGTTTTCACTGGAGTATTCTACCAAACATTCAGAGAAGAACTGACACTAATCCTACTCAAAATATTCCAGAAAATAGTAAAGGACGGAATCCTTCCTAATTCATTTTATGAAGCAAGCATAACATTGATACCAAAACCAGGCAAATATACCACTAGAAAGGAAAACTACAGACCAATATGCCCCATGAATATAGATGCAAAAATCTTCAACAAAATACTAGCGAATAGACTCCAACAACATATCAAAAAAAATAATTCATTATGACCAAGTGGGGTTCATACCAGGTATGCAGGGATGGTTCAACATTAGAAAAACAATCAACATCATCCATCACATAAATAAAACGAAGGAAAAGAACCACATGATCATATCAATAGATGCAAAAAAGGCATTTGATAAAATCCAACACCCATTCCTGATCAAAACTCTCAGCAAAATAGGAATAGAAGGGACATTCCTCAAAATAATAAAGGGCGTACATGCAAAACCAACAGCCAACATTATTCTCAAGGAGAGAGACTGAAACCATTACTCTTGTGAATAGGAACCAGACAAGGATGCCCTCTATCACCACTTCTATTCAGCATTGTATTGGAGGTCCTAGCCAGGGCAATAACGAAAGAAAGGGAAATCAAAAGCATTTACACTGGTAAGAAAGAAGTCAAACTATTCCTATTTGCTGATGATATGACCCTATAC